TACTATGACCTACATATCCCATTAACTTAGAGGACAAGAAAGCAGAGAGAAATGCTATTAATCTCCACCATGAGGATGAGATTTATGTGTAACCACATTGCTTCCAATTCACTCTAATCCCTCATTTTATTCACAGAATTTGTCCTCTCTGACTGGAATACACTAATTCAGTGCCCAGAGGTTGAAGCATGCAGCAGCTGCCTCACTGATGAATTCAACAGTTAAAAGTACAGTCGTCTTACAGCACTAAGTATATGCTAGGAAAAGCATTGAGTAAATAGCTTAAATACACGGATTGTACAATGTTACTATAAATTCCCCAACCATCAAACTATACTAATACCAAACTTTTTAAACATTTATTGCAACTCAAAATATGCTTAATTGTCTAAGAATTGACTCAGGCATTATACCTAGCATAAGTTAAGTTTCTTATCCTGCCCTCTAAAACTGTAATCAAAGGCACAGAATGAATTGTGCCAGTCAAAACTCACACTAGTGATATTCACATGTGACTAAGCCATCATGCAATGATCCTGTTCACCCTGGATGATACAGTTGATTAATAATCATAATTATAACCGTAATAAAAAAAGATTGAGTGCAAGGTGTTTTATTAAAATGATAATTCCTTATAAGGATTTCAGCCACAAAGTTTACCTTAACATTCAATTGGGCCCACATTTTGCAGTTGTTTAGAGGATACAAGTTTGAAGAAAATAAATTAAAAAAGAAACTCAATATAAATTTGAATACTGTTTCCCCTCAATCATCATAACTTTATAATCATATTACAATATACCTATCTCTTAAATCTGTTTTTCTCCTCTGATTTCCATCTTTTTTCTATTTTTTCCTGAATTCACATTCCATTCAATCTTTCCTCTTCTTTGACATTTATGCCACCTATTCTGAAACTCTTTTCCCTAATCTGATAATACAATGTTCCTTCTCAATGGGACAGCCACAATCATAATCGAAAAGGAAAGAGTGCCTTGTGATGAAAGATGCCAAAACAAATTTACTTCAAAGCTGCATATGCTCATGTTTAAGTAAAAAAGCAAACGTGGATATAATTACTGCAACTCAACTAAAAATTTGAGGTATTTATCATGATCAGTTTGCCTGTATGGCTCTTTCAAGTGCTGCTCAAGTCTTCTTAAAGTGCATTTCAAAAACCCTGTAGTGCTCTATGTCTTTTTGGTTCTTGATTGGGGCCAGAGACTTCAAAATACTATCTTTTAACAAGCTTTCAGATAGAGAATGGTCCTTTATAAAAAAAAAAAATGCCACAATGCCACCCTGCAATCTATGAGCACTGATGTGTTCAGGAATCCTCTTTTTTTAACATAATAATAGTTTTTAAGATCTGAAACAGAATATGGAAAACTGGAGGCTAGGAATAATTCTGCCATCAATTAAGTTGTCCTGAAATAAAGGTAAAGGTAAAGATTCCCCTGTCCAGAACTCTAGTGGGCGATGTTCATCTCCTTTTCCTAGCCAAAGGAGCCAGCGAGGAAGTTGTCTAAAGGCATTTCCATAAGTCAAGACACTTGGAACACTGTTACCTTCTCACTGAATTGGTACCTGTTTATCTACTTGCATTTGTATACTTTCAAACTGCTAGGTGAGCAGGAGTTGGGAAAAGAGAGGATGCTCGCACCATCATGCAGTGCTTCCAGTCAACAAGCCCAGCATCTTAACTGCTCGGCCTTGTCCTGAAGTAATGTGCATTAAATCTAAAGCTGAATCCACATTAAGCAAATTCTGCTTGACCTGTGGTTAATTGTATGACTTTGGGAGGAGAGGAAAGATATCTGTATCAATGGGGAAATTTATCACCATTGTAAGATGAACGAATATAAAATTTGTTAACATAACGTCCATAGTGACTCTGGTTTAGTTCACAAGTAACTGGATGCAGCAGTAATTATACAATAGAAGATGCCTTATTTGCTACCTAACATACCTGATTTGCTGAAAAAAAGAAACAACAACATCTATTCTAGAAGTCGTCTAGAAGTTGAGCCATAGCAACTGTACTTCTTGTTTGTATGAAAAGTTTCACAGCTTATCCAAGTAGCTTCCTTAACCTATTCTAGAATCTCTCTTCTTGATGCGCTTGAGACAGTCTAAAGTTGTTCAGCTTCCATTATTTGAAATTTGGGGTTAAGGCCCAGACTTGTCCTTTAGAAAGGTGGAAGAGCAGCATGAGCAGATTCAAGAGGCAGGAGCATAGATTGATAATAATAATAATAATAATAATAATGATGATGATGATGATGATGATGATGATGATGATGATGATGATGATGATGATGATGATGATGATGATGATGATGATGATGATGGAAGGGACCTTGGAGGTCATCAAGTCCAACCCCTGCTCAGGCAGGTAACCCTATACCATTTTAGACAAATGGCTGTCCAGTTTCTTCTTAAAAACTTCCAATTAAGAGTAAGTAATAATTAAATTAATATAATTATTCTTCCATACATTAAATATTTTTTTTCTTCCACCATAGTAAAAATTACAGTTTGGCAGCAACTAACAATATTCATATAATTTGCTTAAGCAGATCAGTTCAAGATTTATTTTGCATAACATAAGAAGCTTGCTCAGCTGTAACTTTAATTATATATTTTTTGACTTAACATGTTATATGAACCTAACGTGTTTGGTTATCGTTATATGTACTGTATGAATCCAGGTAACGGGAAAATTTAACAAGGCTAAATAAGGTTGTGTGAAAGCACCACCTTTCTGCTACCAATTCTGCTCTTCTGCTTTTCGTCAATTCTATACAGTCTCATCAATACAACTGAAAGCCAACCAAGCAATCCACATCAATGTGGATGTTTAAGGAAGTGAAACATCCTTAACATGGAATGAATTCTGGGCACTTTTATCAAATACCAACTTCCTTGGCGTGTTTATCCTATTCTAGAGGCTTTGAGAAGGCTCCCAAGTGTCAGCCATAATCCCAGAGCAAATTCATGGAATAAACAAGCCCTCCCTTCCTGCTTAGCCTTGACCCAATGATTATTTTGGGCCTCTTGCAAAAATTCAACCAGCAGTTTAAAACAAACTAATTTTTAACAGTCTGACTCATAGACTTAGGTATGTAAAACGGGATTAAGATTTTTGGACTTTTGAAGCATTGCCCTATCTCAAGTATCTCAAGTTATTAGCACTAAGATATATATATTTTTACTAAAAGGTCAGTCCTGTTCTCTATTTGCAAAGCCATGTTTGCATATCTCTCTTGAACACTTATCCCCATTCTGACCTTGTCCACCAATTCAAATTCACACAATATTGCTGAATTACACATTTATAGTGCTCTATATGACAGCCCAAACTTTAATAATTAAGTTTTGTATCAGAATTTTTTTTCTCCTCATATATCATAATGGCCTTCTTCCTTTACTCTGTTGGCATATGTGCATTTATTTACATGTTCTTTGTCTGTAAGAGAATATTTGATGTTGTTTGAAAATAACTATGGGTTTATCATTTTTAATAGTTCATATATTGATTGATCTTATGGATGTATTTTATGATTTTATTAATGTTTTGTCTCATCTGTTACAAGCTAGGTAGTATCAGAAGGGTATATGAAATATACAGTAGATAAATAGATAAATGAAATAAACAGGCAGTTCACTATCTTGCCTTCCCAAATTCATGGTACAATTTCAAATGAATGAATGGCGAAAGGACAGAATAGTGTAGCAAAACAAATATATAAACTAAAACCAATCCTTTAAATTTTTATTCCTAAGAATCTACTTTGATAGTACCATTTTTAAAATGAAATATTTCTTTTCTTCAGAGTGGTATACTCATGCTTTCTATTTAAACAAGTAACATTGCCATTTAAACTTACTAAGATATATTTTTACATTGTGGAATACTGGAGTATAATAAGTATGACTCAAATTTAGTTCAAAACAACAAATCCACAATGCCTCAAGTCATTCAATGTAAAATAATCAGGAATGAAACAACTAAATACCATGTTACCTATGGGAATCAATCTGTTGTAAGCCATATAAATCGTTTTTATTGTATTCAGGTTTTATAAGTAGCCTCTAAGTAAGTGGAACTTTTCATGCAATGAAGAAAACTGAAAAACTACAAGACAAGGATCCAAGAACATAGCTATCAGGACAAAGTCTTCATTTGGTGTTACCTTGAGGAGAAGTGGGTATTTGCAAATCCTCTGTATTGGAGTTAGGAGATAACCTTCAAGTGGAATGTCTGTAGTCTTTCTA